TCCATCGACAGCGTTCGGATGATCCTTTGTGATTCCACGCTCAAATCTCACCTTTGGAGGTGCACTCGTCGACTTGGGTGGCAATGATGCCGGTACAGGTTCCGGTTCCGCTAGACTTGGTGGTTCCTCCGCTGACGAGTCCGCTCCCAATTCAGCTGGTGTCCAATCAAACAATTCCGCCTCAACGTCCATGTCCTCCGCTTCCACACCAGCGCTTGGTACTGTGGCTTTCCTAGCGGGTCGTCTTGCTGCCATCGGCGGTGTCACAGGGGCCTTATATGGTTTCGGGGCTTCATGCCTCTTCCTAGCTGGATCAGATTGATAGGCTCCCGAAAAAGACTGAGATGAAATCGCAGGCGGATACCACGGCTCTAGTGTGCCACAGGTCGTCCTCAACTCCGTGGTTGCCGTACTAGATGAGGTTTTAGGCTGATAAGAGGCCACTACATGTCGGATCGGGCGCGACGAATCGAATGGAATGAGAGCTCCATTTGGAAGAAAAAAATTATTCCCCTGCTGATCAACCAAATTCTCACTCTTATCCTTCTGAAGCTCAAAGCAGCGCGCAATTCCATGCCCCTCACGATGGCAATAGTAACAAACAATTGGGCCTCGTGGTGCCGGCGGTACTGAAGAAGAAGGAGGTACAGCGCTTGCGGAAAACTTCTTCTCAAGCCTTTGCTCAAATGACTGAAGCATCTTCGAAATTTCATCAATGGTGGCCGGTGCCTTCGCTGAAACAGGAGCCTCCTTTGGTCGCCGATCCGTCTCCATCTTATTCATTATGTCATTGGACTGCTTAAACAGTGACGTCGAGACAGGATTGGAAGATCTAGAATCCTCAAAAGTTAATGCGGTCTGACCCTTCATAACCTCGTCTACAGCCTTCTTTAAAACGTCAAAGGCAGGAAGTTTGAAGCGGTTGTCTAACGTCGTGATCATCGTCTTGTCTTTGATAAGCTGATCCCGAATCCTCTCTTGCACCGCCGTCGAAAACGAGCGATAAAACAATGTTCGAATCTCCTCCAACGAGTCGATGTGGGACTTTCGAAGGAGATAGGACTGAATGGGCTCCCACCCTTTCCTAAAGTCCTGATAATTGACTAACGACGACACTCCTCCCTTGTCGATCCACTCCTGCACTAACGACTCTAGATCTCGGGTTGTGAACTTTGCGATATCCACCTTTCCCCAATGGGCCAGCATTGCCGCCTTTAGCAGTGCCCAGTTTGGGGGTTCGAAGCCGTCCAACGTTTCGAGCACATCCTTAACTTCCTCGCCGCGCACAAAGAACCGAACTTGCTGGGCCATATCACTATCGGATGCGCCATCCAACCTCGCCGCCAGCTGATAGTCAGACAAGAATCTCTCGACATTGTTCCCATTGAATCCCAACGACTTATCCTGCGGCTTGATCTTCACCATTCTACCATCAGAAGCTCCTGCTCCTGCGTCTGCCATGGCGTAGTTGATTGAAGAATAATCTAAAACAACAACAGGGCAAAACCAAGAGGCTCACAAGTGTGGCTAGAGTAATGCTTTCGACGGTATGTAGAAGAGCTTCGGAGGTGCAACTATGGAGGGGACTTACTTCTATCTCTCCTGTGCCCCACGTGTAATAAAGAAAAAAAACAGAACAGAAATCCAACGATCTTGATCCAAAAACTAGGATGTGTCCCAAACCTCTTCAGTCCAATGTTGACTTTGAGGTGGAATAACTTTTGAAAGACTGGTCCAATCGACGTGATTGCTGGCTTAAATGAACGCCGCAATCAAGATCTAAAACTCTTCCAGCGGTTGTTTTTGCTCGAAATCGATTGTTTACAAAATACAGAGCTTCAAATGTGGGGACGAAGATAATGGGAGTGTCGTCCTAGAAGCTTAATAACTTCTAAACCGGTGGTCCGATCGAAGCGATCTTGATTTCAAGTAAAATCCAGAATCAGGATCTACAACTCTCTAAGTGGTTGTGTCCGCCCGAAATCGACCGTTCTCAAGTTAAAGAGCTTTGAAGGTGGGAATGAATATGACGCGAGTGGCGTCTTTGAAGCGTGATAACTTTTAATCCAGTAGTCCGATCAGCGCGATCTTGATTACAACTTAAAGCCGAGATGAAGATCTAAAACTCGCTCGGCAATTGTTTTCACTCGAAACCGACCGTTTACAAGCTACAGAGATTCAAAGATACGATAGGAATTTCGATAGAGGAAATGTCGAGTTTGGGGCAAGATAACTCTTGAAGGAGTGGAGTGATCGGGTTGATTTTGGGCTCGTTTGAAAGCTGCAGCTCGTCTCGCCAACTCTCTATGCGGCGCCTGCCCACGAATATCAACGCTTCAAAGATGGAAACCGTCAAAAAGAATCTACACCCAGCGAGAAATTGTGAATTGAGGTCCGTCTTCGAAGATGAATAACTCTTCAGCCACCAGACCTTTTTGGCTGATTTTTGGCTCGATTGAAAGCTGCGTATCGTCTCTCCGACTTTCTCTGCGGCGTCCTTTCGCGAATATGAACGATTCCGAAGATAGAAGCAATCGAAAAGCAGGTAACTAGTTCAACTAATCGGCCGATCCAGAACGACTAAGATCCTGGAAAGCCTTGATCCAATCCAACGAACACTAGGCTGTCCCTGTAGCGATAGGTTTAACGGCGACTAGAATCAATTCCACGAAAGTGTCCGTCCTAAAACGAAAGTCCCAACGATAACGATCCCTTGCGATAACGATGCCCACGTGTAAACTCCTAGGAAGGGTAGGAATTCTTGATCCTTAGACAAATCTACGCGAGCACCCAGCTGTATCTGTTAGAAGATAAAAGTATAGTAATCCTTGAAAAAAAAATGCTACTCCTCTGAAAAAAAAACCGCCAGCCGTCTGAAATCCTAGACGAGACTGTAAATCTTGAGGTCGCTGGTTTGATCCCGGCTCGGGGGACCAAATGTGGAACTCCAACGGTGCTGGCCGGTGGCAGTTGGTTGAGGGGAAGGTGCTGAGAAGCTGCCCTTGTCGTAGGTCCGGATGAGAAGTGTGAGGGGTTGGATTTGGTGAGAAGACAGCAGAAATTGAGTTCTGTGGCGATGGTTTGAGTTTGAGGATCTTGAGAAGAGTAAGGTTTGAATTGAGAAGATCTGAGAAGATGAATTGAGTTCAAGAGTATCCGGATCAGAAGAATCAAGAAAACAAGATCAATAAGGTTTGATGGGTCTATCTTGGATCAGATCAGAATGCCATGCCTCCCCATCATCTCAGTTCAAACTGAACTTTGACTCTGGGGAGTGACATGTCACAGACATGTCATCACATCCCTAACTACAACACCAATCAACCAGAAACAAAAACAACACAACACAACACAACACAGAACAGAAGAAGAACACAGAATAGAACAAGCAAACAAGATCAGAATAAACCAACATAAATGAAACTATGTCTTAGGACCAAGAAATAAGAAACAACACTGTCTTCTGAGTAAATGATTTGAAAAAGATAAGTAAGAATAATAAAATGATAAAAAATAAAAATAAAATCAAATCAAGATGAATAAAAAATAAAATGAAGAGTAAATAATAAGAGGAAATGAAATAAAATAATAAAATGAGGAAACCATTGGACTGAGTGGTAATTTGAGGTGATAATATTGAAATATCGAGTCTTGAGGATATTGAAAATTTGAAATTTGAATTCTGAAATTGGACCTTGAGGGGGCCTGTACCGTTTAGAACACCACACCGACACAGTTTAGCACTGATGGTTGTCCCGACGGTGTCAACAAGTTCAGCCCCCATCGAGCCAACCAACATTTTCTTAGCAAATTGCACTTTCCAAAGAAGTGCGCTGGCCTCCTTCCACATAGAGGAAAGGCTACACAGATGGGGAATTGCAAAAAAAAAAAAAAAAAAACGACTTCAAAACAAAAAAAAATTCAAACAGCTTGACAAACTCGAGATCAATTGGTTTGAATTCTTCAAGTTATTGCCAGTACATTGAGAAGACGAGAGCGCCAAGCCGCAAACATTACGGAGTTTCCATCCAAAACTGGAACCGACGGGATAAGAGGCAAGGGGTTGTTTAACGTCCTAATCGGCATTCTTACTTTCTGGCCTCGAGAATTTGGAATTGCTGAGTCGTAACCGACAAAAAAATTCCAATTTCAAACGTTTGTAGCTGAGAATTTGAATCGGGAGCTAGAGCGACGAAGGGATCATAACCTGTTGGAGCGGACACAGGTGGGTGGGAATGAAAGTCACAGACTATCTGTGACAGGAGAGACAATCACTAAGATAAAGATAATTTAGATTCAGTGAGGAAAAAGATAGAGAGAAACTGAGTGAGCTATATATACAACTAGGTTGAAGCATACACTCGACATAAGCATCTCAACATTTTTAAAGATAGTCATTCTGGACCCTGGTACCAAGCGGTACCAGGGTACCTCCCTAAATTTGGGGCCAAATCAGGTACCTAGTACCGCACCTGGCACCTCCTGGGGGGTACCACGGGTACCTCTGGCAGGTACCACAGGTACCCCCTGTGCTAATTTGTCCCTCAGCTCAGTAAAATTCAGATTTGGTAACTGGAATCATTTTTTTCAATTACCAGGTATGTGTGGGTGTGCAAGTATCAATAAGTTTGTTATTTTCTACCAGATCCTGTGTAAAGTTTAAGATACTAAGCTACTTTATACTGGTTCAATCCTCATCTAACACTATCATATTTCTTTTGGACTTCTTCCCGGTCTTGATCACATTATCACGTGCCTCTTTCCAGGCTGCCAAGGTCCCTTCTTTTATTCTTTTGTTCTTTGAGTAGAAAGCAACCGTCATTCCTTGACTGATTGAGTTTGGTCCAAGCCGGTGCCTCTTTGATGATATATAATCCCGACCAAAGCTAAATGCTTGCTCCACATCGACAGATGTTGCTAATCGATCAAATAGCAGAAGCATTAGATGGATTGAAAACAAAACAAGACTGGTTGTTAGCTCACCAGGACATCCTAAAACATCAAGCGCCATGTGTGTTGCCCGAACGCTTCTGGTTAATCCACCACTTCAGAGGATTTACTGGATCAGTCCCCTCCAGGATAAGGCTGCCGGCAAGCCAGATATCAAATGCGCCGGTTGAGCTGGTGCCCCCTCGGGCGGCAGCAGCATTGCCAAGGCCAGCAAGCACACTTGTCTTAGGCTATAGAATAAAATCATTCATATGTACTGTTGGTTATATGTAGTAATATAACATCCAATTACATACATAACTTACCTTTGAGGCGGTAGTTGGTGCAGATGAAGTTGGAGTAGGTGACCGGGGCTTGTAAAATGATACCCACATCTCTCGGGCCATGCGTATGGCTTCGGCTATCCATTCAGGTTCCCAGTTGGCCAACTTGAAATATTCATCCTTAAATGACGGGTGTAGAACTGAAATGACTAGGATTTCAGTAAAAGACAATGATAAATCATAAGAGAAATTATAGACTGGCTAGCAAGACCATACTTCCTGGTCACTGTTCCACAATCTTTTAGTGGAAATACCAGGTATACATAACGACTTGACCCAGCAGGTTTGGACTTGTCGTGACACTATTTAAAATGAGTGATTGATCAAAATCAAATTAATCACTTCATTCCTTCCCCCTAAAAAATGAATTATTTACAATATACATTTGAATTTGATTTATAATTCTGATTAAGGTGTAAACTATTAGTGTGATAAACATATAATTGGCATCTGTTATTGATGAATTTAGAAAGAGAAATCACAAAATTGAATATGGTTGAATTTCTGTGATTATCTAAATGTATTTCTACAGGGGCTACAAAACCAAAAAAAGAGCTTCCCTTGATCTGATTGTGAATCAAATCTGTAACATTTGTTCCAAAAAAACTTCTGAGGCCATGGGTTTATTTTTTTATTTGAATCAGCAGCCTTATCTTTGGGGGAAAACTAGGTGTAAGCAAAAGGGAATTTTAGAGGAAATTCATTTTCTTTTATGGGAAATTAGTAGTAAATTCTGGGTAAAATCTAGTGACTTTCTTGTGAGTCCCATTTTCTATCATGATCCTTTTAGTGATTTTTACAAAAAAAATCAAATCTTCCAGGGTGACTTATTTGTGATTTGCAGTCACTGGAAAGCCAGTGCCCTGAAATTTCCCCTGGTGTCTATACTATCAGATAACAAGACCCGCCAAGCTCAGCTTGGCAAGTTTCAATCAAATGATAGGGTAAGTTCATGAATGACTTTGTGTGATGGTGATAATGAGTTTAGTTGTTATTGGTGTTTGGTAAGGTTCTGTAAGGGTTGTATATCTTTGATTGAGTGGTACTAAACTGTGAGTGGTGAACAATACCCTGAGGAGACAACAACTGGGAGTAGAGCCTCCTTATATAGACAAAAATGAGGGAATTTAGTTCCAGGGCAGCCAGTAACGAGTGATTTTGGATGGCCTGGGCTATTACATGAGTGGTTTTAGCTACATACATAATTTGAATGGGTGAATGTGATTGGTCAGACATGTACAAAGTAATAAGTGGTGGGTCCAACAGCTGAGAGAGTGATTCTGATTGGTCAGGTTCTGTGGTGTTTACAAGTGGATGTGGTGGTACCACCTGCAGCTTTCATGCAAGGAAAATACACTAGTTTAGACTGCATGCATGAGTTATGTAATATGTAGAAGTGGAATGTAAGGAGTGTAGATGTATGTAAATGGGGGGTTATACTGTACTGAGGGTTTCTGTGTAGCTTGAGGGTTGTAATTGAGATTGGTGACATTTAATGATGGGTGAAATCCTTGTGATATGTTGTCCATCATGGGGTAATTGTTGATCCAGGTGTGTTCCAGTGACACCTCCGTGTTGACCAAGGGTGAATTAAACTGTAGAGTCCATTTATTGAGCCATATGGTGTGATTTCTGAGGGAATACTGGATGATAATATGAAGAAAATATATATAAGAAAAAAGAAAAAAAAAGTCTTTGAATTTTTCACACTTTTGACTACCACACCGCCATCTGCATCCGCTGGCAGGTATCCCTCCACCTTAGCGGGTATCCAAGCGGGTATCTTTGGATACCTGCCACTTGCACAAGGGCATTTGGAGGGGGTGGCTGAAAATTGACTGGAAGGTCTTCCTTCTGGCTGACAAGGTACAAGTGCCTTGTTGACTGGAAGGGTTTCCTCCCAGTCAACAAGGTACAAGTGCCTTGTTGACTGAAAGGGTTTCCTTCCAGTTGACATGGCACATGTACCTCACTGGCCAGAAGGAAAACCTTCCTGCCAACAAGGCACATGTACCTTGTGGACTGGAAGTACTCCCTTACAGTCAACAAGGCACTTGGGTTGTGCCTTGTTGGCCTCAAGATAGTACAGTCTCAAGGCCAAGAGGGAACCCTTCTAGGCCTGAGACTTTACTTGTACAAGGTCTCAAGGCTGGGTCCCTCTGACAGGTATCCCTGGAGATACCCGGATACCCGTCAGGATTCCAAGGAGAATGGGGCATTTTAATCCCCTGGCATGTATCCGTTGGGCCTGGCGGGTATCTGCAACCGACACCCTGAGGCCATCTCTATTGAGAAAAACCCATTTTAAATTGTTTGAGCCCACCCCAGTTCAAATGAGATAAATTTGACCCAGCCAAGTATGGTTGAACTGCTTACATTGTGTGGTTGAATTCTTTTGAATGGGAAAATTTATGTAACAAAATTCTGGCAAGGTAGCTTTTGCCAAAGAAACAAATCTTTTTTCCTCATCAAGTGAAGAGGGCTGTGAGGAGATGGTGATCCCAATTCCACACAGGTTGACAATCCCAAAGGGAAGATATATTGGAGAATGATGGTAATTACGTTTGGGATAAAATGATCCAAGCAGCAGTGGGCCGCTACGCTACACTACGCTACGGGCCCATGTAGCGTTAGTGTAGCGGCGCCAATTTTTTTTGTGTAGTGTTAGCGTGCCGCTACGGCCGCTGCGCTACGCTAATTTGTAGCGGCGCTAACACTAGCCTTTTTTTGGTGTAGTGTTAGCGCGCTGCTGGCGCCACTACGCTACAGCGTTTTTAGCGGCAAAAAACGCCTAAAAATCGCTGTAACACAGCGTAGCGGGCAGTTTTTGGCGGCCTGTGCGTGTAGCATTAGCGCAGATGGGGGGAATCGTGCTAACGCTACGCTAAACGTTAGC